TAACCCAAAGTTGAGGGAATTCACCACCCACAAACTATCTCTACAGTATATCTTAAAGGAAGGGACTGTTCCAGATGGAAGTGCTCCTAAGGCCAAATAGCTGTCACCAGAGAAAAAAAACCACAGTAAAGGAAACAGACCAATTAATTACTAAGCAAATACAAATTAAGTCAACTACCCACAAAGTTAGTCAAGGATACACAAAGTATAGAATATGACAGCTAATATATAAAGAGTGGATGAGGAAGAAGAAGGGGGAAAAATCCCTTTAGATTGTGTTTGAAATAGCATAATAAGTGAGTTAAGACAGATTGTTAGATAATAAGGAAGGTGCCCTTGAACATTTGGTAACCACAAATCTAAAGCCTGCAATGGCACTAAGTACATATGTATCGATAATCATCCTAATTGTAAATGGACTGAATGCACCAATCAAAAGATACAGATTTAGAGAATGGATAAAAAAAACAAGATCCATCTATGTGCTGCCTATAAGAGACTCACTTCAAATCCAAAATCCAAAGACACAGACTAAAAGTGAAGGAATGGAAAAAAATATTTCATGCAAATAGAAAAAAGCAGGAGTAGCAGTACTTAGACAAAACATTTCAAAACAAAGAAAGTAAAAATTGACAAAGAAGGACATTATATAATAATAAAGGGGTCAGTCCAACAGTGACATATAACCATTATAAATATCCATGCACCCATTATAGGAGCACCTAAGTATATGAAACAAATACTAATAGAATTAAAGAGGGAATAGACCGCAACACATTCCTTTTAGGAGACTTCAACACACCACTCACGCCAAAAGAGATCAATCAGACAGAAAACAAGTAAGGAGACAGCGGCACTAAACAACATAATAGAACAAATGGAACTAACAGACATCTACAGAACTCTACACCCAAAAGCAGAAGGATACACATTCTTCTCAAGTGCACATGGAACATTTTGCAGAATAGATCATATACTAGGCCACAAAAAGAGCCTCAGTAAATTCAATAAGATTGAAATTGTGCCAATCAGCTTCTCAGACCACAAAGGAATGAAACTAGAAATAAATTATGCAAAGTAAACAAAAAAGTCCACAAGCACATGGTGGCTTAACAACGTGCTCTTAAATAATCAGTGGATCAATGACCTAAAAAAAATAGAGATCAAGGAATACGTGGAGACAAATGAAACCAACAACACCCCAAAACCTGTGGGAACTGCAAAGGCAGTTCTGAGAGGAAAGTATATAGCAAAACAGGCTTACCTCAAGAAAGAACAATCCCAAATGAATCGCTAAACTCAAAATTAATGAAACAAAAAAGAACAAGTGAGGCTCAAAGTCAATAGAAGGATGGACATAATAAAAATCAGACCATAAATAAATAAATATGAGAAGAATAAATAGGAAGAATCAATGAAATCAGGACCTGGTTCTTAAAGAAAATAAAATAGATAAGCCAGACTTATCAAGAAAAGAGTATACATACATAAACAATCAAAAATGAAAAATTAAAGATCACTGGACACCATGGAAATACAAAGAATTATTAGAAAATACTATGAAAAATAATATGCTAACAAATTGGATAACCTAAAAGAAATGGATGATTTTCTAGAAAAATACAAACCTTCCAAGACTGACCCAGAAAGAAACAGAGAATCTGAACAGGTCAATTGCCAGCAATGACATTGAATTGGTAATCAAAAAACTACCTAAGAACAAAATCCCTGTCCCAGATGGCTTCATGACTGAATTTCGTCAAAACATTTGAAGAAGAGCTAATATCCATCCTCCTTAAAGTTTTCTAAAAGGTAGAAGAGGAGGGAATACTTCCAAACTCATTCTATGAGTCCAGCATCACTCTACTACCAAAACCAGGCAAAGACACCACAAAAAAAGAAAATTATAGAGCAATGTCCCTGATAAACATAGATGGGAAAATATACTCAAGAAAATATTGGCAAATTTAATTAAAAAATACATTAAAAAAATCATTCATCATGACCAAGTGGGATTTATTCAAGGGATGCAAGGATGGTACACTACTCAAAAATCACCAGATATCCATCCAACATCAGATATCACGTCAGCAAAAAAAAGGACAAAATCACATGATCATCTCAATAGGTGCCAAAAAAGCTTTTGACAAAATTCAACATCCATTCATGATAAAAATTCTCAACAAGATGGGTATGGTGGGTAATTACCTTAATGTAAAAAAGGCCATATTTGACAAACCCCCAGCCAATATCATACTTAACAGTGAAAAGCTGAAAGCTTTTCCTCTTAAGATCATGAACAAGTCAAGGATGCCCACTCTATTCAACATAGTACTGAAGGTCCTAGCCACGGTAATCAGACAACACAAAGAAATAAAAGGTATCCAGATTCATAAAGAAGAAAAACTGTCACTGTCTGCAGATGACATGAGATTGTACATAGAAAACTCTATAAAGAATCTGCCAAAAAACTACTACATGTAGTAGCTGAATTCAGCAAAGTTGCAGGATACAGCATTAATATACAGAAATCTTGCATTCCTATATACTAACAACTAGCAGAAAGAGAAATCAGGAAAACAACTCCATTTACAATTGCATCAAAAAAGAATAAAATACCTAGGAATAAATCTAACCAAGGAAGTGAAAGACCTATACCTTGGAAACTACAGGATACTCATGAGAGAAATTAAAGAAGACACCAGTAAATGAAAATAGTCCCATGCTCATGGATAGGAAGAATTAATATTGTCAAAATGGCAATCCTGCCTAAAGCAATCTACAGATTCATTTCAATCCCTATCATAATACCAACAGCATTCTTCAACAAACTAAAACAAACTATTCTAAAACTCATATGGAACAACAAAAGACCCTGAATAGCCAAGCAGTCCTGAGAAGAAAGAACAAAGCTAAAGGGATTATGTTCCTTAACTTCAAGCTCTACTACAAAGCCACAGTAATCAAAACAATTTGGTACTGGAAGAAGGATATACCCATAGATCAATGGCAAAGAATAGAGAGCCCAAATATAAACCCACACATGTATGTCCAATTAATATATGATAAAGGAGCCATGGATATACAATGGGGAAAAGAAAGCCTTTTCAACAAATGGTGTTGGCAACACTGGACAGCTATATGTAAGAGAATGAAACTTGATTACTATTTAACTCCATACACAAAAGTAATCTTGAAATGGATCAAAGACCTGAATGTAAGTCATGAAAGCGTAAGACTCTTAGAAGAAAACAAGGCAAAAATCTCTTGAATATAAACATGAGCAACTTTTTCCTGAACACATCTCCTCAGGCAAGGGAAACAAAAGCAAAAATGAACAAATGGGGCTACTTCAAACTAAAAAGCTTCTCTTCTGTACAGCAAAGGACACCATCAGCAGAAAAAAAGACATCCTACAATATGGGAGAATATATTCATAAACGACTTACCCAATAAAGGGTTACCATCCAAAATATATAAAGAATTCACATGCCTCAACACCCAAAAAGCAAATAACCTTATTAAAGCATGGGTGGAGGATCCTGAACACTTTTCCAAAGAAGAAACCTGGATGGCCAACAGGCACATGAAAAGATATTCCACATTGCTAATCATCAGGGAAATGCAAATTAAAACCGCAATGACATATCACCTCACACCAGTTAGGATGGCCAGCATCCAACAGATAAGAAACAACACATGCTGGTGAGGATGTGGAGAAAGGGGAACCTTTTCCTACAGTGTTGGTGGGAATGTAAATTAGCTCAACCATTGTAGAAAGCAGTATGGAGATTCCTCAAAAAGCTAAAAATAGAAATACCATTTTACCCCAGAATCCCACTCCTTGGAATTTACTCAAAGAAAACAACTTCTCAGATTCAAAAAGACATATGTACCCCTATGTTTATCACAGCACTATTTACAATAGCCAAGAGATGGAAGCAACCTAAGTGTCCATCAGTAGTAGATCAATGGATAAAGAAGAGGTGGTACCTATACACAATGGAATATTATTCAGCCATAAAAAGAAAAATCCTACCATTTGCAACAACATGGATGGAGCTAGAGGGTATTATGCTCAGTGAAATAAGTCAGGCAGAGAAAGAGAAGTTCCAAATAATTTCACTCATCTTTCAAGTATAAGAACAAAGCAAAACTGAAGGAACAAAACAGCAGCAGACTCACAAACCCCAAGAAGGGGGGACTAGTGGTTACCAAAAGGAAGGTGTTGGGGAGGGTGGGTGGGAATGGAGGGAGAAGGGGATTAAGGTCCACTGTAATTGGCAATCCCAATAAAGGTTGGTCACAGGGAAGGCAGTGTAACATGGAGAAGACAATTAATGACTCTATAGCATCTTACTATGCTGATAGACAGTGACTGTAAAGGGTTACTATGCTGATGGACAGTATAAAGGACTAGGTGAGGATTTGACAGTGTGGGTGAATGTTGAAACCACAATGTTTATGTGAAACCTTCCTAAGATTATATATCCATACTGCAATAAAAAATGACCGAATAAAATTTATTAAGATGTCCATTTCTGTAAATTATGGGTTATCTAAATTATCCACTTACAAAACTAAATTTCTATAAATTATGGATTATGACATCCCATAATTGCCTTCTGCCAACCTAGGACAAAGTGCTAAAGATTAAAGTTAAAATCAATAGTTATTTACCTTATTAGCTTTAAGGAAACATTTGATTAGGAGAAAAAATACAGGATAACAGGGAGGTGTGTGTATTTATTTTAATAAACCATGCAATTTAGTTTCCTGTATTTCTATATTCCCATCTTGTCTAATAGTGGTATGATATAAAAATGAGGCAGGAGCACTTCCTTTGGAGAGGGTCATTATTAGATACTGAGTATCAAGCCACAGTATTATATTATTGGCTCTTTCCCATCAAATATAACAAGAATAAAATAATAGTGTTCTTTCACACGTGATGTCATAAATAACACTCCTTTGGTAAATTTTATCTTACTGTCTTTCAGATTAACAAATAGAAATATTATACACAAACCTGCAGAGTGGACCTTAATTGCTATGGTGTTGCTGTCTTTGTAAGTACCCTTTCAGATTTTTAACTCTTAAGTACTAAATATGAAGAATTTTGATTAGGGGAAAACAGAGCTCATTGATTTTGTAGACATCCCTAGAAAATGTTGTTCCTCTATTTTTTGCCCTTTTTTCCTTTCCTATATAATAAAATTACTTTCATATAAAGTGTTATGACATATATGACAAGCATAATCATTCCCTTTATGTTTTTTTACCATCTTTTCTTCTAAAGGCCTTTTACTTCGCAAATATTAGTTGTTCTTTTAAAAGAGAAGAACATCTCCATGCATCCCATTTCGGATATATACAGAATAGTCTCTTAATTTCATTTTTAACAGTGCATTTCATTAACAATTAATGGGCCTCATTATTTTACATCTGTATTTTTACCAACATACCTAATGCTATTTCATTTTTCTTCAACATATTTTATCATCAACAGCATCAGAAAAGTTTTATTTTCTAAATTAATGCACATCTTTAAAAATTAAGCAGATTTAAAGGAACTAAAATACTAAACAAGCATATATAAAATATTTAACAATTCATTCACCTTTTAAGAAATCACTAGTGGTTTCTAACGCTGTCTTTTGGTAGGGTTAAAACCATCTAGTAAGTGTAGTGTTTTTCAGCTTGAATTGCAGAAGTGTGCTTTTGAAGACCATTCATTACGGCTACTTGGTGCTTGTTAGGTCATTGGAGCCCATAGGACATTGAATACTTACTGGACACTCACAGATCAAGAAGTATTATGAGCCACCCTCATAGCATCTCCAGCCCTGCTTCTCTTTCTTTGATATTGCTTCAGCCTGACATGTTATTCTGGCTCCACTACCCAAGAGAAGGCTGTGCTGGGAGGCATTAGAGTAGGCTTCAGTGAGTTGGCATCTGTGTCACCCAACCAGATACAACTCACATGATTCATTAAATCAGAACACAGAAAATAACTTACTTGAATGCCCTGAAATAAATTTTTTATCAACCATTGAACAAATCTTTTGTTATTTCTGCTATTCAGTGTTCCAGTTGAATTGGTTATTTGTGAAAGATCATATTGATTTTTTTAGAAAGTCCTTTACATTTTGTGAAATTTGTAAATACTTTGGTCACTGACCAAAAAAAATAATCCGTATCTTTGCTTACCCACCATATCCTATGCCTGCTCATAAACCCTCACAGATAACTGTTTAACTGTACTTCTGCAATTCATTGTACTAAAGAGGAAGTAACTTTTTTGGTTGACATGTCAGAGGCCTAAACCTAGCAGTAATCTCAGAATCTTGCTTTCTAAGCCAGTAACTGGAAGTATATCTTAATGAGCAGCTGCTTACTGAGGATACTTGTTAGGTCCTACATTTTTTGTGTGTCAAACTCCTGCCAATTTTCTCCAAAATGTGTAGCAAAGGGGAAAAAAGGATAGAAAATGAAACAATAAAGGCTACCATTAAGTTTCATTTGATTATTACATGCAAAAAATAGACCTCTAGTGCTTGATTTTAATAGATGCACCCATGTGGCACAAAATACTGAAAGCTTTCTAGTTCTTCTATATCGTCCTATTTGACTTCCTTAACTTTGGATGTGATATAAGAGACCTCTTATTCTAGGGTAAGTGACTCCTAAAAAATAGTACCTTAATTGAATTAAAGAAATAAATGTACACATGCATATTTCACATTGTGCAATCAGTCTTGAGTCTGTAGCAGTAAACAGTATTTCTTTTTGCCATTCACCTTGAATCCTCTTAAATTATTCCCTAACCCCTACAGCTAGATCTACTCATCTTCTGCTAGTCTTTAGTCCTTTTAATTCCTGGGCAGCTAAAATCCTTTCTGGTCAGGTTCCTTTTAGCTTCTTTTAAAATCCTCTGTTACTATAGACACCAAGTCATCTGATACTTACTTGGTTTTTGCTTTTGAAGTCTTGTTTCTCTAATTCTAACTTTGTCATAGGCCCTCCTTGCAAGTTATCACTGATCCTTTCCATTCTGCACTTGCACATTCTGTGTCTTCACCAGCTGAATCTCCTTATTCTTTGGTCATTAGCTTCTCAAACGTCTATCTCCTACCCCCATATTATTGTATTTCTTATTTCCTCTTTTCTCAGGAAGTCCCCATTAGCTTTTCATGTTTCTGCCCCCACCCCCACCCTACCCCGGCCCAGGGAATGTATTGCTTATCTGATAACCCCTTTCATTCTCAGCCTTGTCATTTTATATCACCCTTTTAGAGTAAATATTACTATATAATATGGGGGTAAAATTAAAATATATATCCATGATGTTTACACTCATTCCACTGACTTCTGTAAAGTATAATTATAGTTATATTTGCACCGCTCTTTCCTCCCACTTTAGTTCACAATTACTTTTTAGAGGAGGCTTTTGTCACTGGGGAAATTAAAAGCAGGAATGAGGGTCAGTGTTGGATAAAGAAACTTAAAAACAGTGAAAAATATGGAGGCTTTTATACACCCAAAGAGGTATGCACAGATAAAGAGAAAGAAGGTAACAGACATATTTGTGGGGCAGTAACCCTACCATTCAGCCTTTTAACTTTTTGCTGCTGAGATGAACATAGACATATGTAGAGTTATCTTTTTTTAAATAATATCCTATGATTTGGAAAACTTTCACATCTACTCACAAATTTCCAATGGAATTTTTCTAGTTATTACTTGTAGACATTTCTGATTTTATGTTAAAAAACAAACCTCTTATAAGTCTTTATAGCTAGAAAAATGATTCTGCATGGCAGGTATAGGCAATGAAGATGCATGTAACAAGATAATATATTTAATATTATTATAACAATGGCACTATTCTTTGTATATTGCAAATATTGAAAATTTTTGTTAGTAGCATTCATTTTATGCATGAAAGCTATTTTTAAAAATCCTCATGAGAACCACTTAGAAAAGGATACATATATACATATATAATCCTATTAGTATGTTGCTATTCTGTCTCATCTAACTCCTATTAGCAGGAAAAATCAACATTTTGGGCAAAACATGATAGTCAAAAGAAAGAAAGAAAGCTAGGTCTTGAATTTTCATGTCTGTATTCTTAGAAGTAAATAAGGTGTGTCTGTAGTAAATCATCTTTTCCTGGTAACCTCGTTGCACTTTCACAGATGTATTAACATTAAACACTTTGAATCAGAACACATAGTTTATCAATGTATATTGGTGAGAATTTTATGCTCATGTAATCTCAGAAATAAATTGATCAAATGGAGTTGGTATACTTGCAGTTTGCCTACTCACTGCAACGCATCTATATGTAAAAATATATCATGACCCATTCTCTCTTCACTTAGATTGCTCACTAATTCCATAGGACTTGAATGGCTAGTGTGACTGCAATGTTTATCAATATTTATACCATGTATTCAGACCCTAAATATTTACTAAGAGTATACAGAAAGACATATTAAAGCAGAACTTAAGCAGCAGTATACATTTAATTTTAACAGTGAAGTCATTAATGTTGGTTTTGTCCTATCATTTTTACCTAATAAATGTCATAATTAACAAAGATTCTCAAGAACTCCTTACACATAGAACATCTATAATAGAGATAATTGACCTAGGTTTTTTTTTTAATAACTGATTAGAAATGCAACTGAGTAAACTGGTAATTGGTGTTACTGCTTAAGGACTGGTTATAGTAATTTTCTATCTTACTTGAAATACTGTGTATTGAAATAATACAAAGTTGAATCTGATTTTCCCACCTAAATAATGCTCTAATAAGATATTGGGCCCTTCCTATAGTCTTGATGCATGATTTTTCATAAAAATGTGTATAAATATTTATGGTCAGGTATAAATATTTTAGTACATACATACTCAATTGTGTAAAGCTAATGTGTTTATATATTTTGATGTGTTCATATACCAAATTAGAAAGCACAAAATTACACTAAAGTGCCTCCTTATAGTATTGCATGTATTCTATGAGGTATGATTCTTATCCTACCCTGAATATAGGAAAAAAGAAACTGAAGAATCACTTTTCATCATGGTCACAGTATTCAGAATAGTTTCTTTGAGAAGATTTTGACTGGTATTTTGAGATTTTACAACCATAGGATATTTCCCTTGGCTTAATCCCTCTTTTCCTTCCCCTCTTTCCTTTGTTGTTAGTCTTCCCAGTCTTCTTTGACCTGTTATTGTACTTGAGCCTGTGAAACAAGAGGAGTCTGTGCAGATGTTGATCTAAAGCTGAGAAATCCAGGGGAAGGTCCAGACCAAGGCAAGAAGCCAAAGAGAAACCCATATAGGCTATGGAGAAACAGATTGACTGGACTGACTCCCTTTATGTGTAGCCCACATGCCAGAAATGGAAATCAGTTCTCTCTAAGTTCTTTACATTCTCTCTAAGTTGTACTTAAAACGTAACTTTTTGTCCAAGTTTAATATGAAACTTTTATAAATAGGCCACTGCTTTGTATTATGATGATCTATGGTTAAAATTGTAGCATAGGAGTCAAATGTCTTTTAGTTGGTAGTTACAGAAAGCAGTGTGTATTGTCTTCCATGAGAATGATTTGATTATCTAATGAAGGAGATGAATATATACTTTGTATTCCATAGAAAGTATGGAGGATAGCGTGATTTGTGGTAGTCTAACATGGATACATGCTATTCCTGGTTTTATGCCCTTGATGTTCTCTAATGGAAAGCTTTCATGATCATCTCCTAAAACGTCTGCTTTCATTTTATTTATCTGAACTGTTTCCAGTGAACTGTGGCCTACTTCCTAGGCAGATAACATGCAATAGTATATTCCCCCTAAAAGCTTTTGAGTATTCTGTCATTCAGGGAGTAGCATGTAAGTCCTGGGAAATGGTATTTAAACAAGCTCAACTTGGCCATGATCATTAAACAAAAGCCTTCACTGGACACGGGCAGCCACTTTAGGTAACCATCACACAGACACTCGGTAGAGTTATTTCCCTAGGGTGGCAGGCATGAATGTAAAGATGTGACCAAGGCT